TTATAATAAGTCATGACTTGAAAACAACTACGCATTGCAACGTAGCTACTCCCAAAGGTTTTCGTGAGTAGTGGTCACTCCGCCGAGCATTCAAATGCTTTGACGAGGAAATGTTCCGAATTGGCAAGACTCTAATTTATGGACGACCTTTGAACGAATCTTAAGTGAGCTTAAGAAATATTAGCCAATCAGAAAACAGTCAATATACAGTAAAAATATGTTATACAAAACCAAGGAAATAAAGTGAATACACTTCTTATACATGGTTCAAAAACTTTTCAAGGTTAGAAAGACGTTCAGAGTTTCTAAAATCGTAATGCGTGAAGTAGAGGAAATCATCTATATGGCTACACAATAGTCGGCCTCTGGAGCCATGATAAAGTCTCAAAAGCTCTTTTAGCCTCGACTATATAGCTTCAATATTGTTTATGTGCACTCCAGTTGTTGAGTGCACAAAATGCTACTTGTGGATAACGACACGATGCACAGAACCAAGTCTATGTAGGAATATGTACGATCTTCAAACATCCGTATATATTGTAGTGCCTGGCTGCAGCCAATGTTACTGGTGCTTTTATCATCCAGTTTGCGATAATTTTCGTAATTTGCCTTAGTTAGGAATTAAATATGGGGTTTTCATCACGAGCTGATATCAGCTATAATGCCAGAAATTTATTTAGACAAATGCATGAAAAACTCGCGTTGAAATCCGAGATCGATTACCTTACACCTGATTGATTCATCCACAAATTACAGACTCGCCGTTATATTTGTCATAGCCTCTCAATTATCACGTTTTGTACAAAATTCCCTGTGAATCGATCGTACGTCAGCATTAAGCAATGAAGTTGACACCGTAACCTTGAAATCTCTAACACGGTTCTGATTGACCCATCCACAAATTAGTCTTGCCGCATTTCGTATCTTTGATTATGATTTCAGTGCTAATATGTCTTATATCTTTGCTTCCTTCAGCACTAATGATCTCCGAGGTCATAGCTAGAAGGTAAACAAACTGCGACCTAATAAACTTAAAGTGGGATCTCGTTTTTCTCATCGAGAAGTCAGTGGATGGAACGCTTAAACAGAACAAGTGGTATCAGCCCCATCAGCGAACATTTTCAAGGGGAAACTGAACCTTCACTGGAAGGCAATCTGTCAGGATTAACACAGGTTGACTAACCTACTATCCTTATTACTGAATAGTCTTCTTTATCTAAGTTATTAAAAATAGTTTCGGATTACTAGTCGTGGAAAAATGCAACAAAGAGCGAAGCAACAATTATTACTATTAAGAACAAACTGAATCTCTGGAGTTCATAAGCTAATTTAAAAAGCTTTAAGATTAATCAGCTGATGTACTTTTATTGCCTGCATTACCAGTCCTACAAACAATTGTGGGCATGTGCGTGACGTACCACAATTAGTTCTGCATGATCACAAGTCTGGCTTAGTGAAGGTTAAACACCAGTATTATTAAGAAGTAAACGAATATGAATAACTCTGCGAGAAGCAGTCGGGAACCAAAACAAGCACCTCGATCGACCTTCAAAACGAGTGATTAAAACAAATCAAACATTGAACTTCAAAGTTTGTTGGACGGAGTTGGTGAACTTCAATTTTTCAAGATTTGTACCACAGTAGTAGTATAAGAGCGGGTTATTCAGTATCACCCATCTTTGTAACGACCTTGTATAAATCGATTGAATAATTCGGGGTGATCTTATCCGCAACGCAACCATGTAAACTTAATGTATCGCACACTGTCATTTGCGCGTTCAAGTAACCACAGATCTTGTCATTTCATAATGTATTTTTAATTAAATAACTAGATTATGTAGCTAATTCTGCTCTGTTTTTAATTTTTATTCGCCACGTCCGACTGCATTACACTGTACGTCGATTGCACGCTGAGATGATATCTCAAGTCATAGTGAGTTTATTCACATAGCTGATTGTTTCCAGATAGACTGTCAGTGCATGATTTTACTGAAGAAAGGTTTGTTGTACTGTAAACTGTGTTTCTATAAACAACTCCCTGTTGTCTTCAGTATGAATTCATACTGAATACTGCTGTAGCGTGGCGTCGAGTTGAGGTTAACTATGAACACCGCTACAAAGAAACACGTGCCAAATAGATCAGAAGGCGAAGGTTGGACGTAACCAAATAAATCCATAAAATCTCCGAGAAGCCAAATATCAGAAGACAGTTAATGGATCAAATCGAGATGTATTCGCTGGCGATCTCGTGGCATCGAAAGGATACCGAGATCGTGCCAGGATACAAGCCTGGTTACAGAACGTAACCGAATTCGCGCGAAGTCACAATCAAAAGTGTGAGTATAAGAATGGAAGCACAATATAGCTGTCATTAGCACAGTCAAACAAAAGCACATTAAAACAAACACTGGTACAGTTGGTTATAATAATAATTGTTTTTATTAAAGCGGTCGTGTTCTCGTGATAAATGTGAGTCACTACAGGAGCCCTCCGCTAGAAAGGGTTTACACTTTCGATAAATAGCGGTTTAAGTCGTTGGACTGATCGGCTGACGAGCGATTGTAGGACGGAAGAATCGGCGAACAGGAAAGCGATCGTTGATCGTCGAGTTGTCAACGAAAGTCGGTTTCGGAGAACGGTACCAGGAGCGATGTGCTGTATTTGTTGCTTGAGTTGGCATGCCACACCAGAGTGGTTTGTATCCAGAATCTGAAGATTGCGTTCGTAGGGAATGCGGACCAGAAACGCTGCAGACGTAGGACGAAAGCACGTTGAGCTGATGAACCAGAAGCGACCATAACGAACAAGTTCGAGACCAAGCGTATGCCAAACATTCGAAACGAAGATATCGACTGAGTACGTTGACAAGAGCATGGGTGGCCAGTCCAGCTTTCGCCAAAGTTGACTGAAGTCGACGGAAACAAACGGAGATGGTCGAAGGCGTGGGCTCAGGAAACAAAAAGAAGATAAAAAAAGAAGAGTGTAGCATAGGAATAGTCCTACACCGTGTCAGTTGTTAACTGTACGGCTAGTCGCGGAAGCGTACGGGTAACCGTACTCGGCGACCGGAACTTGAGACGGTAGTCTCGTTCGCGTCGCGTGAGCCTGCAATCTCATCCGAAGTCAAGGGCGGCGTGGTCTGCTGATCTGGACGTGAGACTGTCGTCTCGTCCGTAGACGGTGCAGATGACGCGTGCTGTTGACTGGGACGTGAGAATGAGGTCTCAGGTGTATCTAGCGTGGGACCTGAAGAAGATTTAAGGACCCCGCTAGGTTTCATAGGTCTAGCATTGAATCTCAGGTTATCAGATAGGGCACTGTCATCGACGTGTGCTGGTTTGAGACGATCAATGCTGACGATCTCGACGCGGCCATGTCGATCAACCTTGAAGGTCTTTTCGTGACGAGCGGTCACGTGAAAAGGGCCTTCGAAAGGTTGTTGCCAAGGTTTGCGTACCGAATCTACTCGTATTAAAACATGTGAACAGCTAGATAACTCTCTCGAGAGAGAGCGACCTGTCGATGTTGTATTCGAGTTGACACCGGAGACAGCATTCGCATAAATGCAGACAGTCGATGAAAGTAGTCTGATTTACCGAAATTAGGTCTGCTCCGTGGTGTGAATTCTCCGGGCAGACGCAATGTCGTGCCGTATACAAGTTCAGCGGCGGAACATTGGATATCTGCCTTCAAGCTCGTTCTGATCCCTAAAAGAACGAGCGGTAAGGTTTCGTGCCAGTTGCCGTTTTCGTGTGCTCGTAGAGCACTTTTAAGTTGGCAGTGAAATCGTTTACTTAACCATTTGGTGCTGGGTGGTAGACAGATATGCTTATGCGAATGCATTCCGTACCAAGCAGCCGGGTCAGCGAGGAGAATAGTTAATAGGGGAAAATTTCTCGAATAAAGCGTGGAATTCATCGTCACGCGAATAAAAAGTGACAAGGATTCGGTAAACATAAATGGGAGTCTATTATATTAATACTATTCTTATCGTTATCCGTCATGTCGTGTATATTAAATATTAAAAGAAAATATGAAAATATACGACAGACGTAGATAGATAAATCATAGACTCACTGAATTGGCTTCTTTGGAAGAGTTGACCAGATGTTGAGGCGTGTTCCAAAATACGGCTCACCAGTTGTAGCGTGGTGTCGAGTTGAGATTAACTATGAACACTGCTACCTAGAAACACGTGCCAGATAAATCAGAAGGCGAGGATCGAACATAACCAGATTTATTTCGTTGGCGATCTCGTGGTATTGAACGAATACCGGGATCGTGCCAAGAAGTGGTACAAGTGGAAGCAGAAAACAGGAGTACGTGCGAACAGTACCAAAAACCGCGGAACAATAATGGAAGGTAATGGAAGCACAAAATGGCTATAATTAGCACAGTTAAACAAAAGCACATCAAAACAAGCACTGATACAGTTGGTTATAATAATAATTGTTTTTATTAAACCAGTCGTGTTCTCGTGATAAATGTGAGTCACTACACTGCTTTAAAGCAGTATATATGTATCCTTCTTTTTTTCTTAGGTAAGTTCAACTGGCCTATATTTCGTGTTTTGATTTTATCGGCTTAATTATGTCCATTTATCTACTTTGTGCAACATGTCTGTGCAAATGAAACAATAACTATGACACTTGCTTAGTTTAGTGTTCTTGGTTGTCGTATAATTCAGTTTAGTTGAAAGAATTATGATATACTTAAGTATAGTGCTTGAAGCCTGTGACGAAACAGATCAGTTTAGTAAGTAGAGTTGCCTGTTTCTAATGTGTATACGGATTCAGATCAGTCTGATTAAAATAGGAAAAAAGTTCCTTTGATGATGTTGCTGTCATACATTATAAGATAGCGATAAGTATGTTTGGTGTTTGTTTGTAGACTGTACATCTAGCACTGACCATATTTCAAGATCACTGTCATTAATCAATTTCCCCAGCAATAACATCGGTAGCAAGATAGCTAAGTGTCTGAGCTTTTTGTTGCCCGCAAAACAGCAGTATACAGTCTTAGAAGATGAGTGTTCTGTGTCTCAATTAAATGCAGCTGGCTGTGGACAAATGTTAAGAATCTTTTTGACAACTGAGAACTTTAGTTTGTCAGACACTTACTCTGCTTGTATGTTTTCCTGTTAAACTAGACGCAGATGCATGGGAATACTTAAATGGGGGCAAAATGATAAAAACATTGCAATACGGTACTAAGCCCATGTTATGCTTTGCGCAAGTAATAGTAGCTGACCTTATCTAATATTTATTAACTCAAGGTAAATCACAACTGCATAAATTCTTTGCTAAAAAATATGTGATTTGGTTATTTATATATTCCACATTGACTAAATTCATCAATATTTTTTCATTTAGAATGCAACAGTAGTGAGCCTTCACAGACATTAAAAACTGTTTCGCCCTTGGAACTATGGCCCTATGGAACTGTTTACGGGAGATCCAACGAACAGCAGATTATAAAAAGGATGCTGGACTTCCATTTTAGTCGCACAACCACTTCCAGTATTTTTGAATTCTTTTACTCTTTCGTTTGGAAAAAACAACAAAAACTGCAGCTTAACATTACCAATACAACTTTTAAACGGGAACTTGGTTTAAACCTTTGTTTGATATTCGATTCTTAATGAAAGTTCTTCAATAAATTCTTGAATCTAATGCTACTTTGTTTTATCTACTTAATCGTTGCAAGAAACTTGTGATAAGCGAGCCTCTCAGCACCTAGTTCATGTGTTCAAATGGTTGTGGACTGAATAGAAGAAGCTTTCGCTTAACAGGCTTCCGCGTCTAGTATCAGGGGTTCACCAATACCTCACTGCAGGAAATTAGGTATGTTAACAATAGAAGAGGAAAAAGAAATTGGTAAATCATAGTATGATACTATACTTAGTCCTTAAGAATAAATCCAGTTGCCTCTTAAAAGACTCCTGGAAAGTCGCTTGGACTAGCTCGGCCGGCAGAAAATTCCAGCATTTGACAACTCATAAGGAGTAGAAGTTGTGCCTACAGTCCGTTCTGCTATGTTGTGTTTCTGGTTTCTGGGTGTTACCCCTTAGGTTAGTGTTGGAACTAAGCTTAATTAGGTGTTTTAGGGGACGTCCAGAAGTGTTAAGCTTATTGTAAGCCATTAGGTCACCTCTAAGACGTCTGTACTCTAATGAGTAGAGGTTAAGTGATTGGAGGCGCTTTTCATAAGGCGATTTGGTGCATATCTTCGTCATTTTCTTGCCAGACTTATATACTCGGGTCCTCTCATAAAAAAGTGAGCTTAATTAACAGTTAATTACCGTTTTACTCCCTGATCATGACCTTTCGGCTTCCTTTTATGGCAAAAAAAGCAAACATACACTAGACACTGGTAGCAGATTTCCGGCTTTTCAATGTTAAGCTT